ACCACTGAAAGAATGTGTAGAAATATATTTAAAATATCAAATGTTTTTATTATAGTTATGAAATGGTTTTAAATCCTGCTGTCAGTAATGTAGCCTATATTGTTTGGATAATGACAGGTATTCTCTCAAACTTGTGCCATAAATCTATATGACATTACCTGCAGACTCTAAGTCCAATGTCCCCTTTTTCCTAATACCTAAGCATGAATACGCAAGGGGAGTCCTGAAGTCCTCCACCGGAAATTTAATTAGAGCAGACACACTCCAACAATTTATGCAGCAGGAGCTCAGGAAAACTGAGATCCTGTGAAACGACTGCAGGCAGGTTTCTCCTCCCTACAGCATCTACCAGCCAAACATCAGCACTGCCTGTCCCTTGGCATGCACAGACGCACACGGGTGGTGGCAGGTCCCTGGTCACCCTGCTCAGCTGCATCATCACGCCTCCTGCCACCGTCAGGGCACTAAATCAACCCTCCCACATGGCCCGAGGCCATGGGCCCAGGTAGCTGCTGCTCACACAAGCCAAGGCACACAGCTTCTTCCAAGACTGCCAGGGGTTCTCCTGTGACAGCAGAAGTGATGGCCTGAGGCAGAGAAGGAGGAGAGTAAGGGACAGAAGAGGCTGCCCATTTAGGAGAAGGAATCTGTGTGAGAAATGACTGAACACATGCATGGACAGGTGTGTAGAAGTACAAGGATCAGGCTTTCCTCACAGCATAAACAGCATATTTTAATCAGCAAAACTCACACTGAGCTACAGCATCTCTCTGTGGGTCATCCTGCTTTGATTGCAAGAATTCAAGGAATAACAAGTTCCAGAGATTGCTTGAGCAATCAACAAAAGCATCTTCCCACTTGCTAGGATAGGACTGTGGGGCAAACACATTGTTTGCTCATAGCTTTCTCATTGCCAGCCCAGTAGCACAGCAGCCACAGCCACTGCTGTGCTGGGGACCAGAGAAAACATGACTCCCTGCTCCTTTTAACACACAGCTGCTCCAGCCAGCATCCCTGCTGAACAGGGAGCCCTGATGGCTACAAACATCAGCTCCTACAGCAAAGATGGCTGATTTCATTATAATGCTAAAAAGCATCATCTCAGAAGAAACTGGCGTCTAAACTACCCTGTGAGTTAGTTAAGAATTAGTTCTGCAGTGAGTGAAAAATACTGCTTTAACTCTTCCAGATCTGTGGGTAAATCCTGGACAATGAAACAAGAGAGATCTCCACATGATCTTCTGCCCACCATAGTGCTGTCCAAACCATATGGGGCATTTCTGATCCATGAAGTTTTTCTGAGCTGCATCACAGTTCAGTCTGTACTGTACCTCATGCTTAAATATACTCTAAAACAGGTCAATCATTTACCTTGCAATCACCTGCATTTTTTAAGTTTCATTGCTCTTTTTGGGGTTAGCAATCCTTTACAGCCATGTCTAAAACAGCATGCCCATCTGCCTTTGTTTTTGAGAACTAGGTAATCAGACATGCTTCCAGACTTTAAACCACAGTATAAACCCTACAGCTTCAGCAACTGTTCTGCTATTTTGTTGTTACACAGGTAGGCTGCTGTGGCTGCAGCAGTGAAGCTCCAGATGACAATTCCTGCTGAATCAGCCTATATCTACACAAAAATGAGCTCAGTCCAACTCAATCATAGGTGCATATAATCCCTGCTGGCCAACAAAGCCCAGCCTCCTGGCCTCTCTGGAAAGCTGGCTCTGAACAAGCATTTAGAAGCTGGCAGCTCTCCTTGTGTCACGCTCCTGGCCCAGGTCTTTTTTCTACCCTGCCCTTTTTATTCTCCCATTGCCCTTGCACTGACCTGACGCACTCCCTTTGTGCTCGGGTGCTGAGCCAGTGGGACCTGCTCACTTGGCGCCACTAATTAAGTTCAACAACAACATTTTTTCAGTGGTTCTGTCCCAACACATTTAGTTGGGATTTTAAATTCTTTAGATTTCATTCAGTCCATGTGCATGGTGGTGTCACAAGGCTCTTGGCCTGGTTCAGCTGGTCCCAGCCCTGGAAGGGCTCCAGCACCCTTGACACAGTGCACATAAGCTTGGAGGCAGGAGCAGGAGAGAATGGTCTGAACAAAACAGTCACCCAAAAAAGGAGCTACCATCACTCCCTCTCCTTTTAACACAGAGCTGCCCCAGCCAACATCCTTGCTGATGTCAGCTTGAACATGAGCTCTGATGGCTACAAACACCAGCTCCTACAGCAAAGATGGCTGATTTTGTTATGAAGCTAAAGAGCATCATCTCAGAAAAAACTGGGGTCTAATTACCCCACGAGTTAGTTAAGAATTAGTTCTGCAGTTGAGGGAAAAATCCTGATTTAACTCTTCCAGGTCTCTGGGTAAATCCTGGACAGTGAAACAAAAGAGATCTCCATATGATCTTCTGTCCACCAAAGTGCTGTCCAAACCACATGGGACACTTCTTATCCATGAAGTTTTTCTGAGCCACATCACGGTTCTGTCTGTACTGTATGTCCTATGCTTAAATATGCTCTAGAACAGTTCAATCATTTACTTTGCAATCACTTGCAGTTTTTAAGTTTCATATTGGCTTTTTATTTTCTCTCTTTGCTCCTCTTACCTGCTCCTGTCCCTTCAAGGAATACCAACAAATAGGCTGATGGAAAATAAATAGAAAATGTGGCACAAGAGTAAGTTCCAGGATATGGAAAGAAAATGTTGCAGTCAAGTCCAAAGAAAAAAGATGCAGACAATGGAGGTGCTATCCTAAATACATGAGTGAGGAGCTTAAAACCAAATGCAAGGGAAAGCAGGATTTTAACAGAATTCCAGGCTGAGGAAAAACATTAGAGAAACAGCTTGACAGCAGCACCTAAAATGAGCAGAAGAAAGTGTACAAAGGAGGGAGATAAAAGATAGCAGTCATCAGTGGAAGATGGACTGGCAGGGATTACTTTCTTACACAAATGTGAACAGAAAGCTGTGCTACTCACTTGGTTCTACTGCATAATTTTTTAAACAGTGCACTGCCTTTTGAGCTCTGCAGATCTTCATGCAACATGTGGCAGAGCCAAGACATCTTTTGCTCCACTAGACAAAGACTGGCAAAACATCTCTGCTATATGATCCACAGGAGAGATATCTGCATTCCCAGAGAATTTTATCTAATAAATCTTTTAGGTATATGAAGGGGTCTTTAATTTTATTGTTTAGCTGGAACTCAGTACAATTGCAAGGATTGGTTCCTATCCAGTCCTAGAGCCATGAGCACCTCCCTGCTTTTTCTTTTTTACCAGCTTTGACAAAATGAAGCCAATTTGTTCTTTAGTTTTGCAATTATATGACTTCAGCTTAAGAAGAGGTTTTGGAATAAACAGGATGTAATAAAAACATGTCTCCTGGCAAATTTGATAAGCTCACCAACAGAACTAGGGATCTGAAAAACACTAAAAGCATATGAGTTTTTAGGAAAGGATATTGCTACAGTAACAAGCTAGTCCAAAAGCAAAATTCTAAGGGAATTAGGCTGTAAGATGCAACAACACATGCAGCACAGAGTCTGAACTCCTGTCAACACCAAATCTGATTTCTGAACTAACTGCATCCTCACGGATCACTTCTAACAACATCGACTACCCTTTCCTCCTACATACCATGCAAGTGATGCTTGCATGAACATGTGAGTGCTTGAGGAGTATGCATAAGCATCACCTGCAGGGAATAAAGGATCTGTGACACCTGCTGAGGTAGGCTGCAAACTTTCTGCATATACCCTGGTAATTCCCAGGATACATTACAAGAAATATCAGCAATCCTTGTCCTTATCCCTGTGTTCCCTTCAGCACTCACTTCTGGCCACTTGCAGAGCTTGGATATTGACTCCCATGGGTCTTTGTTCTTGGCCAGTATGCTCAGAGCAAAGGTCTTTAACAACAGAGACCATCTGAGAGGACAGAAAGCTACACCACTGCCCTCTGATCCAGAGGATGAGGGGCCTCTGGACTCCTTCCCAGATCCAGATCCCTGTGGATACCAAGGAAGTACAAAATGCTCTTCAGAAAGCTCTGGTCTGAATTCCCAGGATGCGTGATGGACAGGGAGCAAAGAAACATGTTTGTAAGTGTTTTCATGATGAGTTACGAGTTAAATTAGGAGGCTGACAAGAGCAAGAAGCAGTAAGTGTTGTCCTTGTAGAGTGGGAAGGGTTTGCCCAGAAGGCTAAGGACTGAAAGGAGGATGAAAATGATGAATGCTGTAAAGTCCTGCTGAAAACATTGAAACCAATACCATCAGGGCATGGATGACACGGCAAGGGTCCAGAAGGAAGAGGACTCAGTACAGCCCCAGACACAACCCAAATAAGGACAGCTGCTCCAACAAGCCACTTGAGAGAATTTCTCAGGGGACCTTCTATACTGGAAAAAGCATCTGTTAAATACCAAATGGATTGTTCCAGGTCTAGGGAAGAGGTAGCCCAGCCAAATTCTAAAGGAAAAATACACAATGTTCCCAGTGGCACAGCAAACCCACCCAAAGTGCTCTTCAGCCACATGCCACCAAGATGGTGAAGTGCTGTGTGACAAGAAATGAAATTCATCTAATGGCAAAAGTAGTCTAAAACCTCTCATCTACTGAAAGTTTCTGACTTCACAGTTAATATAGGCTTCAAGTTCTGCAGGGCTGGGGTTGTCCTGTTTGCCTTTAGAGTGGTTGGTGTGTTGGGTGGAGTTTTAATGCCTCCAAGATTGCCAAAATTAAATGTAAATTAAACTAATTACTTCACAGTTATTTAGCAGCAAATAAAAGAGATTTTATCCTTGAGAAGAAAAGAAACCATAGACTAGACTAAGCAGTGCAATTCCTGTAAAGCACCAAGGATACTGATGATACACAGCCCTGATGATCATCTACCTGCAGAAATGAATGTGCTTTCCAACCAGCAAAGCTGGTAAACCTTGCTCCATGTTCTTGAACTGTAAAACTGCTGGTTTGTGAGATCTCATCCTCTTACCTGACATCATTGCCTCCATGGGCAAAGGATCCAAAGCAGGCTGTTAAGATCTGGAGGAAGTGGAAAAGTAGATGGACCTGAGAGGTGTCTTTCTCTTCCTTATCCTCTTCCACAGGATCAACGGGGGGCCGGTTAGGATCCGCGAGTTCAGAGGCCAACTTCATTTCCACCCCACCTTCCTCTGCCTCAATCTCTGCCTCCGCCACTGCGTTGCAATAGCTGGAGTAGCTGTCGTAGCGCACTCGCTTCTTGGAGTAGGAAACAGTGTCTCCCACCAACTTCTCACTGTCTTCTGGAGTAGATGTATCCGCTGCCTTAAAGGAGGAATGCACGGGCATGCCACAAATAGCAGCAGTGTAACAGGTGTAGCTGTTGTTGCGCCTTAAGAGTTTGTAGTTGTTTTCTGCAGTGGGCCTCTCATCGTTGGCCCTGTCCAGGTGTATTTTGTGGAGCAAGTCTTTGTATAAACCTGAGTCCTTGTGCACAGTGTGGTAAACGTGGCCATCGCTCCTCACGTGGCCATCGAAGCTGAAGGTGCCATTGGAAACAGGTGATTTCACCGAGGTGTGCGTCACCGAAAATGCCCTTCCTAAAAAGGCAGAGATTTAGAGGTTTTGTTTACACAAAATGCAATTCAAAAATCCCCTTCCTCCAATACAAGACAATAAAATGGCCAGCATCTGAGAACACAGGACAAAGAAGATCAATTTGCACTACATGCAGTGAATAAGCCAAGATTCGCTTCACTGCAAAATAAAGTCTCCCACCTTCTGTGAAAAAAGAGCTTTGTTCCAGTGCTGAGTCTCCCCAGACATGCTGTATGACCTGCAGCAAGTCACTTGGGATAAGGTATTTGAATGTGATACTTAATGGTTAAATCCTCAGTTCTTTGAAAATATAAATTTCCATAAAATTCCTTTCTTGTAAAGCAAGCTCTACTTCTTCTGAGCTTTTGTCTATGTTGAATAGGAATAATTAGGATTTCTGAAATGTGGTTTACTGCAATTTCATACTGGAAGTTATCTGTTTAAGAGACATTTAATTAATACTAATTTAAGAAATATTTATATAGCTTTTAAAAATAATTTTTAAAAAAATTTAAAAATTCATGTTCTGCAGAAGTATTTCCTTAGCTATTGCAACATTTTCTATATACTAGCTCTACAAACACGTTGATTTATATTTCCACTGTATACATTTAATGTTAGCATACACTGCAGGACACACATAAAAATGTATCACAGGTAATGTTTCTGAAGAAACTTTCATTTCCTGACTTCCTGGACTTTCACTGTGCAACATTCAGAATTGGGTTTAGCTATTTTTAAACTAGAAGCACACACTCTAAGGGCTCCATGTCATGACTTATTTGATTTTATAAGAATCAGTTGAATATATTAGGCATTTATTAACCAAATTACAGGGCTTTGTAGATGTTAGCAAAGCAATATCAAAGTCAGCAGACCGCTAAGTGGAAGGGGGTGTTCCTACCACATGGCAGAACAGAAAGAGCTTTATGCACAAGTCTACTTCTTACAAATATATGTGCAGAAAACAATGTGTGAGATTTTTCTAGTGGATACGCTCCAAATGGTCATACATTTATCAACCAAAGTCCAAATCTTTTCATCTCCTGTTGTAGTATGCTAATCATCTTTATGCTGAATTTAACCTTCATACATCAGCAATCTGTGTGCTCTGTATTTTTCCACTGCTTGATAGGATGGAAACACCATTAAGAATACAAAGTAAAGAAACAAAAAAAGGCAAGTCATTTTTTTTCAGCTGTTTCTAAAACTGAAATACAGCCAAACAAAATGTAATTGATTTTACGTCCTCTCCAGAAAATGTCACTTGTAAATGAGCATCTTTCCAAACAAGCACTGAAAAGGGATTAGAGATGGAAATTCCAAACCCCTATTTACTATTTACTGCAGAGACCTTCTTGCAGTTAAGAAACCTCATTGAAACAGGAAGAGAACAAACCCACTATGTTGTGTTAGCTCCTTACCATAGGGGACACGTGGATGGTTTCCATTTGCAATATTATCTGATGCCCCAGCAGCTTCTGTTACTGAGCCAGTAAGGGGAATAGTGCTCTCATCAGATGCTTTGGCACCAGGAAGCTCTTTGAAGACTGGTGTTTCTTCATCCTGAATTTTATCAAGACTTTCATCTGATATCCTTGACAGTGCAGCATCTTTCTTTAACCGGCCTAAGGAAAGAATGGTACTGTAATTTTAAACCAAACTTATAGCTCTTGTTACTTAAGTTTCCACTGTTTGCATCAACAGCATGGTTTAACTTGACCACGATAACCAAGCTTTGTTTCATACACACCCTATTTATTTACACACTCTACTATGTTCATGTGTGAAAATTCTAGAACATCTATGCTTCTTCCAATAAAATTCACCAAAGTAGGTAACTGAAGAAAAACACCAAGCTGTTCATCTATTAATGAAACCTGAAACTTTTCTCTGCATTTGTTGAGAGTAGCAAAGCAACTAAAACTGTGATCAGCCCAATTTACTGTAAAGCTAAACAGTCACTTAAAGATGATCGTTCTGACAGGTTTTTTCTCTAACTTTTTCTTAATAAAAAAAGAAAGTAGGTTATATTCCAGGTTTTATTTTCCTGTTTCTGCTAGACTTCAGAACTTAGCACTGCAATGGCTTGCCTAACAAGGTTTTCAATTACTACCACTGCAGCTCTTTCAGAACAAATTACACAAATACGTAAGGAATAGTTTAGGCATATCCTGCCCATGGATGGGGACGGGACTAAGTGACCTCTCAAGGGCGCTTCTGCCTCTGAAATGTAATATTCCATGATTTTATGTCCCTTGCGTTTCATCAAATAATACTTACTTTCTATTTTTCTCTTCATCCAGGGACACACAAAAATCCAGACTAAGACAGCAAATACTAAGGACACACCAACTGATATTAAAGCAATGGCCCACATTGGCAGTATCAGTCCCAGTACTGTAAAGACAAAGAAATAAAACCAAAGCAAGCCATTAATTAACATGACTTAATTATCCCAGGCAGTGGAAGAGCAGTCTATTTCAGAAAAGCCAGTGTTCACAGTGTATTCAAAGCCAACATGAAGGAGCTGATGACTTTTAACACATCACCAGTTACTGCAGTATTTAAAGGTATAGCTGACAAGGAAACATTGGCAGGTTTAGTCTTCCAGTTTCCTGCTGCCCCACTGTGACGTTATTTCCCAAAGAGCCGAGGGTAAAAGCCCCACATCAGGGCTGCTAAAACAAGTTTGCAGTGCTTTTATAAATGAATGCACATTAAACCAGGTTGCCCATTAGGGTTAAGTGTTTACCTGACCTTTGCTCTGGTCCATAAAGCCTGATGCTTAGCTTGCTCTAAGCCCTTATTTGCTTGCAATATGAGCTTAATGCAGCTGAGGCTTCGTCCTGCAATGCACAGCGACATCAACAACTCGTGTTTCTGTAATTATTCCCCCAACACAGTTCCTTGCACTTGTTCAATGAAACAATCAATGAAGAAAGAGATTGGACTCTGAATTTCAAACCCATATATACATTGCCTATCTTGAAACCTACATGATTTATTCATCCTTGTGAGTAAATGGTGCCAGAACAGAGGCCTTGGAGAGTAAATATGCTTTTTCCCAGTATCAAAAATGGAGTCCCATCTTTTTATTCACACATTTTAGAGACTGCTAAGCTGAAACAGAGGGAACATTAAAATTCTTATTTCATTTATTTTGCTTAATGAGTCACTGCAGAGTGCCTGACCTACTTCTGCAGTACAACTAATGAGGAAAAATGTGAGTTAAACAGCTGATTTACTGTTAAACATCTTGGATACATAGCCAATCAGTCTTAAGAGGAATAGCAATATTACCTTCAAATTGGGAATTTCTCAAGTTTTTATGAATTCCAGTAATGTTATGCTATGGAGTAGGGTCTACCAACTGCAATTATCTAGTACATCTAGTGTGTTGAATTTTAGAGAAATATTTCCAATCAAAGAGGTCACTTTCTAAGCCTGCTTTCTTAATTCAGAGCCATGTTCAGGAGTCTATCTTCAATTGTCTCTTCATTCATAGCTCTTGGGCCATAATCTAACCTAAAGATAACATTTAATGACTAGAGTCTTCAACAAAGTAGTTGAGATCACTGAACATCTTTGTTCTGAACTCTTTTGCTAGAAGTGTGTGCTTAAATATACACTACTTCAGTAAACTATACAAATATAAATGCAAATACATAAATATAAAATGTGAGAATATAAATATACAAACATAAACACAACTGTATAAAAATTCAACTAATATAAAAATAAAAATTCAGATATAAATATACATATAAATAAACACAAACATGTAAGTGCACATAAAATATACAAATATAGAAAAATATAAATAAAGTCCTTCAACTTCTTTTCCTTCTCCTGAGTTGCAATCAAAACAGAACAGCAAAGAACGAAGATGCATTCAATGAAGAAACAGGTTTGGGGATTCTTATCATTAAAGGGAAATAAGGAAGTAAATTTAAATAATAGTCTTGGAGCCAGAGTTGCCAGAAAAGCAACTCTGCTGATGTCAGTAGAGTGAAGGTATTACACTGAGAGCAAACAGAACCTCCTCTCCCACCCTCCTCTGAACCTTCACTCCTTGATGCACAAACCTAGAGTACTTTGAGAGCTCAACACATGCTGACAATTACAAAGCCAAAGCTGCATCTCAGTAGCTTCCCTTCCTCTAAAGAGGTATTTTTTTTTGTAGCTGTGCTCTTCTCCACTAACCAGAGTGATCAGGACGTTGTCACAAAAACACACGCACAAACAGAGGCACGTGGGGAGGTGAATGATTTACTCTTGCCCTCGTTAATTCCTAACACAGGAGATAACCCTGTGGTGTCTGGGTGACACTGGCAGAGCATCCCTACACACTGTAGGAAGCCTCCCTCCCGTGCCTCCCCAGCTCACTCACCTGGTGCCCCAGTGTACATGATGGAAAACACATTAATAGCTATGGTAGCAGCATAAAACACTGGGAGTGCGCGAAGGCCATTGGGCACAGGGTCTTCCTGCAGAGAAACCATGAAAAAAAGGAAATGTTAGCTAGATGTCACACCAAATTTTTCATGCCAGCATGAACCTCCATGAGGAAAACACATGCTCCTGAGTCAGTACCAGGCAGATGGAGCTTTTGGATGTTGAGGAAAGGATGGCCTGCTTGGTTACACCCAAGTTCACAATGCTGGTCCTGGCAGTACCAGCACTCTGGGGGAGCTTGACACTGTCAGTGGGAACCAGGGACTTATATTATACTTTCCAGTCAGCTGCTGAGTGACCTGAGGGCAGGCTTCTTTCTGCAGGTGTTTTCTCACTTATTTTATGTCCAAGATGAAGAGTCCCTTTAACTTAGCATGACTGAAGGGTGCCAAGCAGGAGAGAGCTTTGCTGTTTTGGACCAGTGCTACAAGCAGCAGTGCAAAGCATCCATCTCAAAACCATATTCCTAAGCTCTCTCTTTCGACTGAGACAGCCTGGCACTTCCTACCAGCTAACAGAAATCTCTGAAATCCCAAGTGTCTGGCTGTATTAAGCAGGTGACACACCCAAAGTGAGTAGACAATGTTTAGCCCAGCACTGTGTCTGCTGCCCACTGCGCTCTCGTGCTCTTGGCACTCACAAGGAAAGACTCAGCTGAGGGTGCAGCGGAAACTCACCGTGTGAGCCACGGACAAAGCCTTTGTGAGGGACTGCTTTGGCCTTTTGAGGGGCTCCATTTGTTTTCAAAGAGCCTGGCAAAGCTGAGGGCTGGCTAATGTGGTTTCATTTCTCGCCGCCATCAGCTATAAAAGGGAGCTGAGAAAAGGCTGTGGTCACCCTGTGCTATGCCCAGTGCCCAAGCAGGATGCAGATGGGCTGCATTTGCAGCTGGGCCAGCTGCTATTCACAGACATCTCCAACAAGGGCATGGAGCCCTATAACAGGCCACAGACTCACAAGCTAGAAAGCTGCTCTTTTTTAATGCATGCACTCACAAGCTAGAAAGCTGCTCTTTTTTAATGCATGCACACAAGTCACTACCCACTTATGTCAGAACCTCTACAGATCTTACTGCTTTCTGAATGGCACAGATGGCAATTAGGAGGGAATTTCCTTAACTTGAATTTTTCTGCATCTTGAATGCTTAAATATGCGGCCTTAATACCACTGTTCACATGATTTTGATGGCTAATTTCTTAAGTTGCTAGGCTTTAAATACAATAGTGGAACCTTACCTTTCTTGCAACTTCAGTTATTTTTTATTCAAAGCTGAATCTGATCAAATCTATCATTGTTTTTATCACTGACATTTATTTAGAGCAGAAATAAAGAATGATGAAGCTGAGGTTACAGGTGGTGCTATTTATATCAAAAGAATTAATCCCTCATCTATTTAAGTTCGTTGTATAACTGCTAATATAGTGTCCCTTATTTTAGGTCACTGTCATGCACTTCACCTCCCCATTTTAGCAAGTTGAATGGTGTGAGAGAAATGGAAAAGGCAGTTCAGGTTTCCAGACCATGCTGGGTGGCAGGCAAGTAATCTTTTGCACTGGAGATACATGGACCGATATTACCTCAGGTCACTAAAACACACTGATTCAGGTTTCTTGAGAATCTATGAAATAGGCAGATGCCCATCTTCTAACATCTGATGTGCTGGAAAACCAAGGCTTAAAATTTCATGACTTTAAAATACCAATTAGAGTATCTCCAAGGAAGGACTGTTCTGTTTAAATTACAGTCAGAACAGCAATTGTGAGGCTAAGTCAATGCCAGCAAACTTGTACTAATACAGAAACAGCCTCAATGTACCATCCTCTGACCAAATAGAATATACAATATTAATTATCACATAGCACCTTCTAAGCCTCAAATACTTGAGTCAAATTATTCACTGTGAGCTTTCAGAACTGCTAAGAGCAAGTATAACTCAAATGGCTATTTAAAAAAATGACTGGTCTCGTTTCCAAAAAGAAGTCGTGAACTTTCAACTGTGGAAATGCCAGCACTCAAATGGGAGGCTAAAACACAATCTTCATACTAAGCACTCATTACAATAGTGAGATTTCTTTACCTTGTTTAAAATGAAGAATCTGATCAGCACAAATAGGATTCCAGACATCAAGCCAGATAACAGTGGGGAAATAAACCAAGAGGCAACTGTGTTGAAGAAAGAAAGAAACTTGAAATAAACAGAATTCTTGCATAATAGTTAAGTACATTGTTAATGAACAATAAATTTAAAACAGTTCTTGTACAATTGGAATGAATGTTCTGTATGTTTACTTACAACTGGTGCAGCTCAACATCCACCAACACTCATGAAGTCACAGTAATGTTAAGCACCATTAGAAACAACAGCAACAGCATTTCCTGCTAATTTTGCAAGTTTAGCAATCAAACTCATCAGGAAAGTTTCTTGTAGTTTGAATCAAGAGTAGTCCAAGAAAGTGCTGTAATTTCCTAATCATCATGACCAGGAATGTTGCAAGTGGAAAGCAATTGTATCTAGCAGGATGACATGCTGCTCCCAGGGTAACAGTCTCAAGTTCCAAAATGCCACGGAAGCATCAACTGTAATATATGATTTGTGTACATTTTTTGCAGGCCAGCACTGCAAGTGTCCAGGACTGATTTAACTGATTTAGTAGGTGGCAAAGCTCCCACTGATTTCAGTAAAACCGGATTAGGGCAGCACTCTGGAAATCTCATCCACAGTGATTTATTGTTTGCAGCACGGTTAACATGGATTCTGCTGTCACTGAAAACTCTTTTACTATTGACAGAATTTTAAAAATTACATGCATTGCTAAAGTTCTAATATATTACCATGCCTGCAGCATAAAATCCTTTTAATAGAGACTTTAGGCTGCACCTTGAGTTCCAAAGGCTTCCAAAACAATAACAAAACACTCCACCATGTCCCTGCTTGGATGTGCCACTGTTCTTGGCAATGGGAGGCTGTGAGTTAAATGTGCTGTGTGCCCTGAAGGTGGTGGGTGGAGAAACATGACTGTGGGCATTCACATGACAGCATTCATATTGTTGAGAGCAAGAACAGGGTAGTATGAGCTGCCACAAGGAAAATTAGAAGAGGAGGAATGTCACCTTGAAGCATGTTTCTTGAGGGACAGTGTGTCCCCAGCTTACCTGGGGAAGCTTACCTGCTTCCCACTGGGCAAGTACAACTTCTGTCTTACCCCTTTCTCCACTGGAGACACAATGCAGCCCTTAATTAATATGGCACCAGTGCATTTTCTGAATGACACGACTGGGGTGGAAAATAAATTAATGAGGGAGTGCTATCAGCACAAAGCAGATCTCTGGGAATGTTTTTTGCAGGCAGCACACGCTATTTCACATACCCTCATACATTAAAGGAGACAGCACTTACCAATCTTGACAAGCTGCATCCACTGGACACCCTGTGTACCAATTGCCACCAGAGAAAATCCAATCGTAGCACCTACAATGCAATGGGTCCCTGATATTGGGAGTTTCAAGAATGATGCAATTAGCTGCCAAACAGCAGAACCTAGAAACAAATGAACCATACGGTATAAACAACAACAACAATAATGTAACACAGAAAATTCTTTGCCATGTGCCCACATTCTTTTACAAGTGCTGCCTACACTTCTCATGCATAAGAGAGATCTTCTAAAGAGGGTTTTGTTCCTGTTCTGTCTCTAAAAGCAGATACTAAGACAGTTTAATAGCAGCTTTGAATGCTACATCTAACTTATGACTGTTTATGACTAATGGTGTCCTACAATTCATGACAGTTCTGCTTTCAGTATTTCCAGCCTATCTGAGTAAGTACACAAACTGCTCCCAGTGCACATCAAGCTTAGAAAACCTCATTCTTGATAGCTGACTCTGGAATCTTCCAGGTGATCAGCGTGAGGAGGCATTCACCATTTCACTAGTGAACTACCCATGCTCCTAAAATTGGATACTACTAGAGAAAGGTTAAAATTGTGGGAGAGAGATATTTTTTTGCTTCATCTCAGTGCTACACAGCCATCCAGTCCTCTATAGGAAAAATGGACTGAGGAAAGAATAAGGACTCTCTCACCGCCTTTATCTGCAGCTTATTGTTGCAGAGAAATTGAAGAAGGATTCAAGGAGAAATTCAAGACTGCTGAAAAGACTTATGTTAGTCATGAAGAAGCCAAGGATACTCTGGCATAAGGAAATAAGTTCCCCATACTAATTAAGGGGCAGTGGGTAATGGTCTGTAAAGTAGATGCAACATCTGGCATTTCAACCAGACATCCAGGAAGGAGGCTGCCAAGAGTGCAGGGGAAAAAAAAAGTACCCCAAGCACCGCTTTCAGGAGTTAAATCACAAGAGTTGGCCACCAAGCCCTTGTGAATGCAGCTCCATGCTCTGACTCCTTTTCATTTTGCAAAGACACAAGATCCCTGCTCCTCTTGCAGTGGCACTAACCTCAGGACACCAAAATACCTTTGAGAGTTGCACAAGCTTTCTGTGAGCCTCCCCTAATACTAGAGAATTTTTACAAAGATCTCTTCTTCATTGTAATACTTCATGGCCTTAAGACTAAATCTTCATATATTGAGTTACCAGTGGCAGCAATCAAAATGCCATAAGAGATCCTGAATTTTCCGGCTCATGCCACCTCCCTTAACAGATCTGCAGCAGATACAGGTGATAAAGCAAGGTCACTGAACATATGCTGGCAGACTATCCAAAGTTTCAGCCTCCATCCTCAGTTCCAACATAAGAAGATGGTTTGAAGGTCTTGAAACAGAACCATCTGCAAATGGTGATTTGCTGGTATCATTATCTGGCTGCATTTGGAAATCAGTTTGTAAAACTGATCTCTCCTGGCATACTATCCCAAAACAACTGTTACTTCTCTTGCTAGTGGAAATTCTAGATCAATCAAGGAACACCTGCTCTTTAATCCTTTGGCTTCTTTTCCCCTAGACTAAAATAAAAATAAAAACACTTTGAAACCTTTGACATGAACTTAGAGACCAGGAAATGGAAGTGAGGAGAAGGAGAAATCAGATGGTTACATCTGAAAGATGTCAAATAAAAAGTTAAGCTACCCATAGATACGTAATTGCAAAATACTCAGTACAAAAAGCAGGGGAAATGCAACCAGGCCACAGCTGCACTTCAAATGTCTAGTGAGGACTGGGTTTATTGTCGGGGGAAATAGAGGAAGTATGGAACTATTTTTTGTTTATTTAACTTCATAGAATCACAGAATGGTTTGTGTTGGAAGGGACCTTAAAAATCATCTAATTCCAAACCCCGTGCCATGGGCAGGGACACCTTCTACTAGACCAGATTGCTCAACTGAAAACAAACAGTCCAGAAGGAAACAGGTGGTGAAGGATCAGTGGATGGTCTGAGAAGGACAAAGCATAATCTAAAGAAGTTTAAGGAAGCATGTTAAGAAACAGAAGAAAATACAAAGGAAGCCAGAGGAGGACTTTACTCTGGGACTTGCAGTGCTTTAACTACCTACATCAAAGCTTTAAATCCTCTTTAACATAAAATGCTTGTTCTCAACTTTTACCTTTGCAAAACTAACTTAGGAAGCAGGAAGCTCACTAGGCCAGGTCACAGAGTCCCAAATTCAGACCCTTCATGCCTGTGGACACCGTGTCCCACACCCTTTCCTCTCGGTCAACATCCCCAAAGACAGGGGCTGGCTGCAGACTGCCCTGACCAGGAGCTGCTGCACCAGCGCTTGGCCAGGGCGCGTTTCACGCTCCCCTGCTGCCGAGGGCTCCCCATCCATTCTCCTGAGGCTCTGGTGCTCCGTGCCAGCTGTGAGCCCCCAACAAACACCACGGTCTCCTGCAGGATAGATTAGTACTTGGCTCTGCTAATCCTGGCTGGGATGTCCCCTCTGTTGGTGGCACTTCCTCAGCCACATCAGCTGCTGGCTTCAGCTCGCACCAGAACCTCTAGAACAACACACAGGCAAGTCCTGACAATAACCTGACAATTAGTTGATGCTGGGCAAGTACTACAATTTACCCCCAAGAGCAGCAATCCTTAACTTCTCATCTGCCTAATAAACAACATTATAATGTGCTCCAAATTACTACAAAATTATACATATTAAAATTTTAATCCCATTACTTCCCGCTTCCTTTTCTCTTAGGAGAAAAAGGTTGACCTGAAAATTACATCTGCTGTTTGCTGCAAGCATCAAAGGATATTCCACCAACATCTGGAAAGAGGATACAGTGACTTTTGGTCTCTCCCAGACTGTTGACTCATTTAAGCCTCATTGAAATTCAGAAGCTAAACCCATTTGCAAAAACATAATCATGAGGCATGAGCGAACAGGGTGGGGGAAAATGCAGAGCGAAAACAGAAAAAGAAAAGAAAACACCCAAGAAGGTCCAGAGAAAACACAGAAAAAATATCATACATCCAGATAAAAGCTGGAGATTGATTTGAGGGAAAAAAAAATGGAAATCTGCATTTTGTAATTTGTCATTAACTCTGAGACTTATAATGTGGAATTTCTTCTTAATGCCCCTACTGGAGGAAGGGAATGTAACTGGTCATGAAGTTCACACAGACTTATGTAAATACACATGCAAATAAGTTGTTTTCTTTGAGCTTCTGGCCAGTTGCCCCTGCAGGGGGTATCTGAGACTTAAAACTTTGCCCTGCCAGGATCAAGATACCAGAAATAGATCCAGAAAAGAAAACCCTTCCTTCAAAGGGACCCAAGAGCACACAGGTCACTTGCACTCAGACGGTGTGCAGTGCTCCTGGCTCCATGGGAAGAGACAGAGCCATCTCAGCAAGCACAAGGATAACAGATGCAAGTGGGAGGCTGCTAAAAAGCCACCCTACACCTTGAGGGAAAGAGGAAATACCTACAGCTGACCCTGCAAGCTATCAGGAAAGAGGAACTGATGGGGTGGGGAGTGGGGGAAAGTGGAAGTGGCTGCTGTCCCAGTGATTTCTTGGTAACCAACCCCTCTTCCCCTTAGGCAAGGAAAGGTGGCCAATCTTCAGGAGGCTCAGGAGCAGCCAAAGAACCAAGGGAACTACCTTCACACTCTCAGACACACAAAGCCACCTCTGACAGCTCCAGAAATTGTCACTCAGTGTCCATTTCGAGCCATAAAAATAATTTTTTCTTTAAAGGCACTCAATTTTCCATTTTTCCAAAGGAAACAGGAAAATAACCCCAGGTAGTAAATCTCTGCACAGACTCACCTAACTCCTGTGCAGTCTTGCATAAAAAGTGTGAGGAGGTTAGAAGGGATGGAAGGTGCAAATAATATTTAGGTCAGGTTTAAGTAGGTTTAAGGAAGAAAATCTTTAAGTGGAACATCCCTCTCAAGCAGAGGATGCTGCGATGCTTGTGTAAATCACCAAGCTGCCGGACTGAGGTGGGAGGGCTGGCCCCTTGCCGGGGCTGCCTCTCCCATAGATAAGGGGTTTCCTCCCTGCTGCCTCTGCCCTTTAAAAGCAGGTTTGCTCCTGGAGGGAGCTCTCTAAAAGCTCACAAAGCCTCTTGCACATAAACAAAGAGTAAATACTGTGGCTTAATGTTACTTACCTCAGAATATGCTGTTTGTTCTGCACAGAGATTTAGTTAACTACAAACACAAGCAAGGGGGCAGACTCTAAGGGCTGCCCTGCTGTCGTTTGGGTCAGAAGAACTAAAAAGACCTTAAATGTCTGATTATCTTTACTGCTCTCTTAGTTTTGCCGTGGGGTGGGCAAGGGTGACGTGTAGGACTAATTGCAATCACTCAGCCAGGCAATCAGTTTACACAAAAGTGTTTGGATTTTCTGTAACTTTTTAAAAAAACTATTCCTTCTCACACAGGTTTATTGCAAACTGTTGATTCTGTAGGATCTTCTGTGCAGACACAAATACTATACTTTTATATTTTCCATTTACCATCACAAAAATCTGAAAAATATTTTTTTTCAGTATCTTGTACATATATAGGATCCATTGTGTTAACTATTTCTTTTCATCTGTTAGTTAAGTGGCTGAACCATTGAAAAATGTAAATTATTAGAAGCATTTTAAAAAAACATAGGAAACTTTAAAACCCTGCATTCACACAAAAACAGATGTGCAGGTCAAGAAGATGGGAAGGCTTAATTAACAATGCTCACAATTAACAGGGTGACAAATACAGAACAAACATTACTTGGAATAGGAAAGTGTTACTTACCAACCATTGCACTCACTTCTCCTGCCATCAGCAGTGGGACAGTGTTGTTGTACAGGTTAACATCAATGATACCTTTCCGAATTGTTTCTCCTACTTTTGCTCCCAGTAATACTGAGCCAGTGGTTTCAAAAACTGAAGCCAAAATGCAAGCCTGGCGTAAAGTAACAACACCAGAGCCCACGGCTGTTCCGAAAGAATTTGCAACATCATTCGCACCGACAGAAAAAGCTAAAATAAAAGCAATGATAAAACCCACAATGACCATCCACAGGTACTCATCCATTGCCATCTTTCCCCAAACTGCAGATTTGCTTCCCCTTTGCAAATAGTTAATAGTCAAGGCTGGAGGGCACCGCAACGGATTTGGAAAGCAGATTTCTTGTAAACAATGAGTTCTCTCTGGAAAGTGCTGGGTAGTGTTAGAATGTGAAGAAACTGCTAACTGCTGATTTTCGAACTACTATAAATACTGTTCATTTGGCTGCCTTCGGTCAGCAGTGAAACACATTCCATATTTTGCTTCCAAACTGGTAGGACTGCGATGTTCTGTCCTGCAACAGAGAAAAAAAAAAAGAAAAAAGAAAATAAAATTGAAAAAAAAAAAAGGCGAATACTCAGCAGAGCTCATAACAATGCGTGTTTTCAGAAGTAAACAGATGATTTAAACCCACTAATGGGGTCCTACCTCAGCATGTGACTGCTCTAATCATAAAGCAATTCAGAAAAGATTCAAATTAGGTCACCTCCAAAGCAATATGTTTCTTGCAATATCACTGACTGAGAAAATCTTTTGAGCAATTTAAAAGGATTTAGAAAATTTGAGAATCTTGTTCGTGTGGAATTTACCAAACACAGCAATAAGCCCTCTTTCCAGCAGGAGGATTCCTCTTGGCTTTTTGCACCCAGTGAACATAAGACATACAGAGTACATGAACCATACCACACAGCCTGACTGCCAGCTGATATAGAACACCTAGCTCCACTGACCTCAGCAGAACTCTCAACATTTTATCAGCTGCAGCCATGGATATGCTCCTTTGAAAAATTATTTATATGCATGTCTAAGAAATACCATTGAAAATACTCTGAAGAACATTAATATTCATCTGTTGTTATCACATCCCATGCAGTAAGAATACAACTTCCTTACAGCTTTTCGGTCTCTGAAACAGCATAATAATTTCAGTATTTCCATGTAGCTCTACTGGTTTAGAGAAGTCTATGAAAAAGGTGCCATGAAAACACTGAACTCTGTTTTTTCCTATAGATAGTTACCAATTACTAACAGTTATTAGATTTAAACTATTGCCACAGATATCTTTGAGTACTTATTTTGACAGTTTCAGTTTTATGGCTGCCTTTTGAATTACATCTTTCTTAGTCTGATAAAAGAGTAAGCTCTTTCAAAGCAAAAAATGGACACAGAGAAAGGGAGTTTAAAAAATAAAACCTTCATCATCCAAAAGACTGTTGAATAGTGTGATAAGGCCCACAGTGACATGAAGATGGTCAAAAGCTAGAAGCACATTTTCCCAAACCACCTGCCTCCTCCAAGGGCCAATTCTCTTCTGTTACTGGCCACCACAAAGACATCCTGTGGTCCTGTGGCAAGGGGTCAAACTAACATTTAGCAGCAAATATGCATCAGCCAACTCCACCTCTTCTAGTTCTAGAGAGCAGGAGATGTCAGATTAAAGCCCTGAGCCCACCTCCTGTTCACTCTCTATTTCCACACAGTCACTTCAATTTCATACAATATTCTCACATGCACATTTTCAAGATCATGCTTAATTTCTTTCAATGGCCCAAATGCAATTTGGGTCCTGCAGTAGCAAGGAGGAAGGGTCTCTGAAACCCCTGAAATAATAGCAAAATTTAAAAATTAAAAGAGATTTTGCATACTCCTGAGATGCTGGATCCTTGAAAACGACCAAGAGGAAAATAAAACATCCATCCATAAGTGTTTCCTAGAACACTCTAAAACTGATGTCAAGGATTGATGCTTTCTCTACAGACATATATCCAGCAAAAAAAAAGATGCCCCTCTTTTTTTCAGCAGGCTCCAAACTGGCTGAACAACTGTTGCTTCAGTCTTTTCCAGACATGGAGCAGACATCAATCTTTGAATGCCTTACACTCTAAAATATTCTAAAATAACATTTCAGAAGGTCTAAATGGCTAAAAACATTTGTATAAGGATTTTTATACTATGAGATAACATGAGAAAATGAAGCACCAAAGCATGTTTTCTGTTTGTAGACTTGTTGCTTTTTTATAATTCATGAGCACTCAGCCCATTGAGTGGAAAAGGACTTGACAGAAACAGAAAAGGCTAATGATATTTGGAAGAAACAATTATAGTTAGCACTTGTTTGCCTGTGAATGAAGATAAAACCCTACTAAAAGCATTTGTTAAAAAAATTCTATTATGCATGTCAGATTTTTGCTAGGAGATGAAGTACTGGACTAGGGTCCTTCCTTGATCCTGGAGATTAATGATTAAATTCTTCATCCTGCATGCATTTCCACAGTACCTTTGCCAAGTTAGCCTCAGTGCCCCAGTTTCTGTTCCTGAAAATGGGCAAAGTGACTGAGGTCCATGCATGCATCCAGACTGTGATTATACAAGACCCATTTCTTTGGACCAGCTAGATAAAAGCACACCCTTATTCCCAATAGAAATCTGTCTTTTCTCCACTTATCAACCAACCTATCAACTTACTATGGTGACCCAAATCCTGGGACTGAAGGAAAGAGCAGGGTGATTGTGTCATTCCCCCACCAGAATTCATGGGACAATGTTTGCCATAACTGGCTCCTCCAGCCACAGCGAGTTCTTGCAGTGTCCAAAATAAACCACTAAGTCACAAGGTTGCCTTTATTAGCTTCCCTGGGAGAGGGTGGGGTGAACTCCTCCAGATGGTCCCAAAGAAATTAAGACTTCAAGCATGCATATGTGTGCTCCTAAATTGCCTCACGAAGGCCAAAGAGTCTCCAGGAGACTGTCAGCAGGGCTTTTGGCAAAGGGCTCAGAGAGGCAGCTACATAAACTCCCTCCCTGTAAAATAGAATATATGGCCTCAGGAGAAAAGGATGTTTTAAGTAAGAAGTCACCCCTCCTGTCATTTTATGCAAGGTGATGGTTCAAAATAGAGCTTTCTCCAAAACTTGAGAGGCTAAACTTGATGTCCTCTGTGTTGGCACAAGCAACAGCACAGCAGCAGCCAAGCTGTGTCTTTAACAAATGGAAATCAAAAGGAAAAAAGGAATAAACACATTTTTAAAAATTAATATGTAGGCTGCCTTCGAATGGCTAGGTGTTACTACTTTCAACCTTAAAAACAGTAAGGGATTTTAAATGCTTACCAAAAAAAAAAAAAAAAAAAAAAAAAAAAAAAAAAAAAAAAAAAAAAAAAAAAAAAAGGCACATCTCTGCTGAGAAAGTTTTCAGAAATGCAAAATATCCTGCAAAGCAGGCCAGTGACTAAATACAGACTAAATCTTGTAGCATGCTTCTTTCTAGGGCCCAAAATACATTTGGCATGCTCAGACACGCTGAACTATGCCCCATATCACCTAATGTAACCCAAGAGCCTGTGGTGTTTCATGCTGTTACTGGGATGAAAAAGAAACTGGAAAAAACACTATGCAGGAGGGAATAGCAGGTGATCTGCTCCATGTGTGACACCTGGAAGTCACCAGCCTGTGTCTCTCCTGTTCTCACTTATATTTCATCAATGTGCCTCTATGCAACTCCACCTGACCTGCTGGATGCTGGGAGATCTTCCCAGTTACCTCTGCGACTGATACCTCCTCTGCACTCAGGTGTGTTGTGCTACCACAGCAGACTCTGGATGGAAAAGTACATTTTCCTATTTAGGCTTTGGCTAACTCGTCCTGAACCAGCCCAACCTGTTCTGCCATGCTGCAAACTCACACTTGGCCATTAGCAGGGCAGAGGAATTGTGTTAGGACCAGGAGCTGCAGGACCTGAAGCTGGAGCGTGCATCTCTGATGGCTGGAGAGAAACGCATAGAGATGTCATTTCAAGCTGGAAGAAGCTAATTCTGCATTAAGGCAAGTTTTTTTAGCTAACAGAGTTTTCTTATGGTCCACAGACAGTGTACCATACTTACAAGGTTCGGGTTGAAGCCTTTTAAGTGGAATTAGAAACTTGCACCTCAGCGAGAAAAATCTGATATTTGGAAATGCTCAGCACGTCCCTCTGCCTCACTGGCAGATGATCCAGACACCCCCCTCAGACTGCATTTCGTTGTTCACTAAACAGCTTGTTATAACTCTGTCAACACAGAGTGCTATTTTTTCCCTAAGGGAGAGATGAGAACAAAATCTAGGTAAAAAAGCATCTCGATTCATGCACAATGACAAGTGAATCCTCAGGAAAAAGTTAGGATTTCATGGTAAGCATGAGATCACTTTAGGACATGTTTATATATGGACATTTACTAAGACAGGTCTCCTGGAAGCTATTCATGGTACACTACTAAGCCTAGACAATTTTTAATGAAAAAAATAATACTAAATTTGAAAATCAGAGATGCCAGGGTTTAGGGATTTTTGGTTTTGCTAAACAAACTGCTGCTAAAGAGAACAGAGAAGTATCTAACAGCAGGAATGAATGGATAAATAAAAGCTCAGTACTAAGTTCAAATTCTAAGGAAGTAATCAGAGTGCATTACCCTTCAGCAACCCATCTATGTGACATGAAGGAACAGAGATCCCATAAAAGTCCTTCAATCTTCTCTTCACCCGAAGTTAGGGAAGAACCTACAGCACTTGTGAAGCACTGAAAGGTATGCAGCTCATACCATATATAAATCATGCTGCATGCAGCTCTCATACTCTCAGAAGTTGCCCCATGCTGCAGCTGAAAATTTTATTCTGCTCTGGATGGGACAGAGATTCTGCAACATCCCAGTTTTAACCGATTTGTTGTTGCCCAAGTATGAACAAAAATCAAGGAATAGCAGCTAGTGTAGCATTTCCCAAAATAATTTTTATGACTACTCCGCCTTGCATTATGGCAAGGCAGACAAGGAAGGACAATTTCTTTTCCTCTGCCGTGCTGAAAACAGTAGATGTTTAATGATTGACAGCAGCACTGGATTTGTACTGACAGGCAGGTTCACTTCTAGTTTCCAGTGGCGGAAAAGTCTGTCTAAAATGCTTACCAGACAGCAGCTTCTGGGAGCTTAGTCCATATCCTCACTACTTCTGTCTGTTGCTTTTTATATAAAACTGCTCTGCCAGGTTCCCACCTATGTGTATAAACTCAGGCCAGATCCGGCATTCCAGTCTGCGGGTACTGAACGCAGCACTGCATAGAAACCAAGCCTGGTTTATAACCAGAGCTACTAACATCACTCTTTATCAATAGTCCTTATCATTTCCAGTTCATGCTCAGGCCACAAGGCTCACAAATTATTTACTTTAAATTACTAATGCTGCATTCATGATATGAAAGGTGGTATTGAATCAAGTGGTTCAAGACTGAGAACATCCCTATATGGCTCTAAATTACATGCACAGGACTTGTCACAAGGCCAAACATTATGCAAGTTCAATGCTCCAGTACACAAAAAGCACTCTGAACTTACTATTAAAAAAAAAAATCAATTACCACATCAGCAGAAGCAGGTTTTGTATCAATCAGTTCCTATTTTATCACATTCACAATGTGTTTAAGCATACTTCATGCTACTACTTCATATGGAAACAAGACTGAAGTTGATAGCTTTCCAAGGATTCCCGTCCAGTTTAACATTGCAGAGAGGGACTGTCACTGTCAGCTCCCAAAACTTCCAGAGGATGCTTCCTTTTCCTAGTCCCTATCAACCTTCTGTTTCCACCACTGAAAGGTCACAAATGGATATAAAATATCTAGCATGAGATTTTGCTGCTGAAAACATTCACTAAAAACACAGAGAAGTCATTTTAAGCAATTCTACAAACAAGTAAGAAAGGTGAAGTATCAACAAATTCTCATGCACTTGCTGATATATTTTTCTCTAACTAAAGGACAATTTGATCCTTCAGTGACTGAACAAAGTCTTGCTAACAGGCAAGTTGTTTTTAAGACTCAATACTAGAGATTTTCAAGATCCATTCAGAGAAAACTAGTGTTCATGCTTACAAAAAACATGTTTTATAAAAGAAAGCCATGCAGAGAAGTCTTTAAAACTCACCCAGTATTTAAAAGTTTTTCCAGGAGAAAAATGAGCTAAGTTCTTCTAGCAACCTCCCCTCCTTATCAGAAATACAGGTTGAAGTCTAAAATAGACATCCTATCATTCAGCACAGTCACATCTGAACATGCAAACTTTCAGAGGGTAGAAAGAGGGCTGTAACTTACACCAGGCAGTCCGGGGATACAATTCACTCCGGCACAGGAGAGCACATAAGACAACACTGAGAAGCATCAATGCGAGTCCAGATTCTTATTCAGTAGGTGAAAATCTGCCTCCTCTTAAGCAAAGAATTCTGCTGGGGGTGGGCACTGATAAAACACAACACTGCGTCACGGCTGCACCAGAGAGACAAACCAATCCAATGAAGCTCGTATTAAAAGCAACAAAACGTTCCCTTCCCCCCTCCCCACCCCCAGGCATAGGCATAGACAAGAAAGGAAATCTCATTTTTGACTGTCAGATGGGTGTTTTGGTGAGATCAGGTAATCTCTGAGGAGTCTCAAATCTTCTATTTGCAAGCACACTTAAATGCACTTTTAATTCGAGTGCATGTGACAGTAGGGTATGTACATCCAATTTGGGAATAATGTTGCTTGCACGCTTGCTACTTTATTCATGTCAGTAGAGGTCCCACAGGCTACACAGACTGCAGAAAGTTAAAGATGTGCACAAGTTTTGACTGGATCGATGCCTAAGCAAACAACTTCACTTTCAACAGTTCAGCCTAAATTACCCAATCCAGATTCTTTCAACCGCTTTCCTTTAAGTGGGAAACATTTTTGCACATAAGTCAAGGCAAAACTAATGTTTGCCTAAAAGTACCCGCCTTAGCTTTATATAAAATAATTGCTTTAAGACAATATCATGCAGTTAAGCTATCATATTCAGCAAAAAGGAATTAAAATCAAAACTGCATTGTCACAGTTAAAAATCTGACTAACAAAAATTTACTTGGACACATTTATGGTTTATGAATTTATCTGATAGGTTTTACTCCATTCTGAGTCACTAAAATGTGTGTAATGCTATTACAACTTAATATAATTAAATCTGTAAGTTTCCCACATTTTGAACATTTGAGAAAAACTAAATCAATTCAGATTTGTAAACACAGACTTCGAAACATGCTCCTTTCCTATTTTTTCAAGCTTGAATAAAGGATATTTCCTATCAAGAAGTCAAAAATTTTCTGAATTGGTTAAATTCAGCTGCAGGGCTTATTTGATAAAACTGAAAGTGTTTTACATTTCTTAAGAAAACTCACATGGAGTAGCAAGCCTACATCACCTTCTAAATATAATTAGGTCAAAATTCCAACTAGAAATCTGCAATGAATAAATGACATTAAAATCCTCCCACAAAAAAAATTATACCTATTGGGCCATGATTATTTTTAAGGTCTATACCCAACTACAATTAAGTCTGCAATACAGCTGCTACCTTTATGAAAAGCTACATCTCTCAAATCTGGTTGTGATGTCTTTCCTTTTGCTTCTGTAATAGCTGGCAAACAGGCTTCCAGTTTTTAGAAAACTGAGAGGCTAAGACTTTCACAGTGGTTTTCTCTTATGGACAAAAGCAACATATTTTATCAAGCATGTTAATGTTTTCCTGCAGATTATATATCTTAATACCTTTTTTTACTTTTTTTTTCTAACAAGTAGCATCAATCAATTCAAGCGAGAGCAACCATAATCGTAAACATTAAGTCAGCTTGTATTTATAGATCTGGATTCCAAAGTTTTAAGGAAGTGAATAAATATGCACAGAAACTTCTTGTAGCACTTGTTTAACTTTATAAAGTAAAAAAAAAAAGAGAAAAGAAATTGCAAAATATTATTCCATGTTCTCTTTATAGCTGATGTCTGCCTCCAACCCGAACAGCCCCAGTAAGCATTAAATCCATCCTACTTTTCCTGCAGAGAATTAGGATGGCCCATTCCCCCAGCCTAGAGCAACCACCACCAGCGTGCAGGTGAAAACACTGCCGAGGGGACATGTCATTTGAGAGGTATCTATTTCAATTTCAAACCTCAGAAGCTGCTGGCCTGACCTGTGGGAAGCATCTCAGACCCAGGAGAGCTGCAAACTGGAACCATTTGAGTGCTGCTTCCCACGAGCCAGCCTGGCCACAACGGTGGTTTCTTGTTGACCTAAGCTTCAGAGCTCGGTCTACACTCAAAGCAAAGGATATAATAAACAGCACAGAGAAAAGGAAATATCTTCAAAGCTTTTGTTCTGCTACATCAGCATTGTGGACTTCAGGCATGGGAAAATTCAAGCCAAGATCGGTTGACCATTAGAAAAAGTTATAATTTGGGACACCACTAAAGAAGCAAGCAAAGGAAAATTTATAAGACCACAGAATAAATTACAAGGATTGGTTTTTGGAAATGGCAGCACCAGTTTGGTTCCCATCAAATCAAATACTTGTAGAAATTATAAATTACAATCTCGATCAGATATCATAATTTTGTTTTAATTGTAATTTATTTTGGTAAATCCACAATTGATAGATTCTTGTTTTATTCAACAAACTCATGTCAGGCAGATTTACATTCAGGTTTAAATAATGTAATAGGACAAGCCAATTTAAATATTTAATTTTAAGCCCCCTTTGTTTGCCATTTCTGCATTAGCTATTTTCTGAAAAATGCCCAGGTTCTCATCTCCCATTGACCACTAAAACAAAGTTAATTTTGCAACTAAGGGTAACTTTTATATCAAATGTAACTGGCCTTTTTTGCCATTCAGGTTGGAAGGCTACATATGTAAATTATTATTCATATTTTAAAACACATACATTTTGAGTAGAAAATAATGGAGGATGAGTAGAATTTTCTAACATAAAAACCCATAAGAATTGGAACCTGGATGCCTGTAAAATGCATTTACTCAGGAACAGAAATACAACAAAAACACCCAAAAGCTGCAAGGTTAGTGACCAGCTACAGGAGCTTCTGGGCTCTCACATACCTACTGGTACTCTAAAACTGGGAGCCATAAGCACCTGGGGACCCTGACCCTGCCTGGGAACCCTTAATCCCTTTCAGTGTATAAACAAAGAAAATAAAATTAATTAGGAGGCATGAAAATGGGTGGCACATGGCAGCCCATTGCACCTCGAAGAAATCTCCAGCCCTCTTCTTTCTCGTACTGAAGGCCTCCATGACCATCTCCACCATGGGAGCCTTGAAGCCAATCATTACCTAGAAATCAGCCCTGAGGTCCTTCAGACTAACGGAGCTTTAACCAAACCTGCTCTACCAAACACAGCACCTCTTCTTGGAGCTCTGGTAGTTCTATTATGCTCAATGAATACCAACAAAACTCTGAGCATCTGCTCTGCAGAGAGCTGAAACACAGTTTAAAAGAGCCAATGAAAGCACATTTGCTTTTGCATATTGGATAGCAATTTCCGAAACATTCTGTTATCTATCAGGATAATGTCCAAAAGAGATGCATCCATGTTTCACTGCAAGAAAACCATCTCAGGGACTCTTTGGAAAGTTTAATACAGTAGACATAAAAATTAAGAAGTCATTTAGCATTCAGGGATGGAGCAACTCCTCTACTCTAAGGAATCAAATCCCTTGGATGGGCTTTCTTGATGGCTCTGAACTCTGTCACCCAGTCATCCAAACATTTTTTTTTCCAGCAAGCTTGTGGCCTCTCAAAGAGGACATCCCACCCCAGTCAGGGGACTTCCATTCCCAGTGGTCGAGGTGATTTAGCTGTGCTTGCACAGGCATACATGGAGAGCTGCCATGTTACAGCATGTGACTCTGCTTGAGATCACACTTGTCTACTGAGTGAGCCAGCCCTGGGAAATGAAAGGGAGGAACCCACAAGTGGAATTGCTGGAGGCCAAGGCTGGCACAGAAGAGGATGACACAGGCTCCGGGTGCTGTGTGGCCTGGGAGAGCCATGCTGACTCCAGCCCCTACCACAGCACAAGCCCATGTCAAGCCAGGAGGAGTTCAAAGGCAGCAAAGCAATTCTGAAGGGGCAAGGCTTTGGCCAGCGCTGATTCAAGCACTGCCCCAGTTAATGCTGGGATGGGAACTGGACTTGGATCACCTGTGACTCCAGCCGACTGACCAGAGACCAGGGCACACCCATGACCATGCTAAGACCAAGGAAAAGTGTGATCTGATGTTCAGAGTCACCCTGAGCTTGATCTTGCCCTCCCCAGACCCATATCCAAAAAGAACCTATCAACATGGGCACAGTACTATAAAAGCCCTGGCTACTGTTCACAACTCAAGGAGCATTATCCTGACATACTAACGGACCCATACCGACTTTACACAGAACATAAAAATTGCCCATGAAACACTCCTGTGGCAATCCAAAAATATGCATTTTGCAAATTCAGAGGCTTATGCAAAGATGCACTTGGTGAAAAGCCAGAGTGTGGTTGCCAAAAGTCAACAGTGCAAATTTTTCAGATAAAGGAAACCTGACACGTCCAGCCCCAGATTGCCTGCCATTTCCATTTCACTTTGGGTTTCAGAGAACAACCACTGTGGAACCTTCTGTTTGAGCCAGAAGAGATGGCTGGAGCTCCCTTGAGTCCAGCAACCCCCTCTCTTCAAACAGAGCTGGAATGAGTGAGTAGCTATCAACATGCCAAACCACACCGGCTGGCTCTCACTGCCATCCTCCAAAATCGGTATGGCCCACAGGACAGAAGACCAAGCACTCCTGAAATGATCTAACTGAATGGAAAAAGGAGGAAAGGACCAGGGGTATAACCAAACAGAGAAGGGATGACACTCACAGAGGTGTCTACCATAGAGGTGTCAACCAGGGTTATGGGGATAAATGGAAGTAGATGAGGCCAGTACACTCTGACAATGAAAATTTTGATGGTGTTTTTTTTTGTTTTTTTTTTTTTTCCCTATGAGAATTGCAGTAATAAAGGGGGAAACAGCAAAGCTGTGACCTTGGCTTCCTTTCAGAGGAATTGGAGCCAATCTTATGCTGCCTGGTGACCATGCAAAGCATGGCATCTGCCAGTTAATAGGCCTGTTGCCCCCTCAAAGCCCAATAGCTGCTGATATCTGTTCTTGAGTCCATGTAATATCGACGTCTGTCTCCTGCAGTCTTTGCTGCTAGAGGCATGAGGAGCATGATGGTGAAGCAAATACCTTGAGTTCCACATACCGGGCAGCATTAACATCCTGGTAGCTTCACCATAGGTTGACAATACTACTGAAGCAAAGAAGTGGCCAAAAGACTTGTCATTTAATCTGGGTTACAGATTAAATCACTGTCAATGCAATGTGCCAAAGAGTGTCCCACAGGGTTCCTGGCTTAGCAAACACCTCCAAGAGGACTTACTAAGGGTGTGTGGTCATATGAAGCAGGTCGAGAAAAGTTAGGCTTTATCTCTCATGGAAGGCCAGGGAGCAAACCCAGTAGTCCAGTGCCAATGTCCAGGTGGAGTGCAAAGAGTCTTCCTAAATGTTTGGGCAAGATAAGAGGACACATAGACTGTATTCATCTTCTGAAAGAGCTTGAACAACTAAGATTTCTCTTCTTGACACACAGGCTGTAGGGAAGAGGAAGTTATTAGGCAGCAGACTGTATTTAAGTACTTGGCACCAGCAAACAGGGCCAGTGGCTGCTGTGCCTCATCCTCAGGAGAAGGCACTCCTAGCTAAGCCACAATGATGACAGTGATGCACTTCAGAAGCCCGATGGCTGCCCAGAGGAGAAAAGATAGAATGGGTGCTGCTGAGAGGTCAGGAATAGCAAAGGGGATTCCATGAGGAACCCTCCCCTCTTCCCTGCCTTGGTGTGAGAACCAGAGCTAGTCATGCCAGGATCCTGCTATGGCCACCACGGCTCAAGCTGGGGCTTCTCTAGACTGCATCTTCCTTGCAGAAAATGACCAACAAAAAATGGGAGTGGCCCAGCACTGACAGGCCTCTCTGCTCCACTCAAGCACTGTGAGAAGAGCCACATCACTCCAAGGAAGGGTGCAAATTCCAGAATTAGCTGAAAGATCAAACAGAAAATGAGAAAATAACCCCCACAACCAAATAAAATTTAGTCTATGGCAGCCACACACGACAATCACACCATGTCAAGATTCTTCTGAAATACAGAACATGCAAAGCATATTTCTTGCGAGACCTGGAATCACTGTCATCCTGATAAGGAAAATTTACCCACTGTTATCCATAAAACAAATGAGCAATAGATAATCATATAAACAAAGAACCCTGAATACACAGGCAAAAAGACTATAAAGTATTTTTTCCTTCAAGGAAGTAATCAAGGAATCTATAATTAATAAAAAAATGGTTTCTTGTCACCAAGACCTTCAGAAGTCACATAAATCATTTCCTCTTCCATCTCTTCTACACATAAATTAAAAAGGGAAAAATTAATTATGCCATTTCTTCAACTATCAATCAGTTTCTCCACTTTGAATTAAGCAGATCTTTAATTAAATCAAATTAATAAAATTAGGTGAGGAAAAGAGTTGCTCTGAAACAGTAGAATACATTACTCCCAAAACGAGCTTAATATTTCAATCAACACTGTCTCCAAGCCTTTAACCGGATATCTTTCACAATTTTATTTTTTCTTTAAAACTGCAGCAGACATGACAATATCTTAATCACTTAATTTAATACTAATAACTAAATAGATTACAATAAATTTGGGCTATATTACAAGTTTGTTGCTTTCGAATCCATAGTACTATGGTTTTACAAGAAAAACAATCCTTTTCAGTTTCAAAATTCCTCAGTTAAGCAAAAAGTATTTTCCATTCTCTAAAGTAATCCAGAACCTGGACTGTATTGTTCACTAATGTACTTTCTGTCTGGGATACATTGGTGCACTAATCATATGTGAAATTCAGGGGTGCAGAAGACCATTCTATATCTACTTGCAAACACTATCATCCATTACTGAAAAATCTATTTAAAATTGGAAAAAAATTGCAAACTCATCCTCTGGCTACTCTAATCCCAGGATTCTATTTTGACTGAGATTCTCTAGGTTTCATTCAGAAAACAGATTAATTGCAGAAACTCGAATGCACAGTTCTCCATCAATAAAGTCTTCCACAAGAACATGCAGGAACCCACACTGAGTGTGCCTCACGGGCAAACACCATGAAAGGAGTAATGCTGGGAGAAACACTAGGTGAACACAGAGGTACAGGTAACATGAAGAAAACAAATGTGCAGATTTACTTGTTCCAGTCAACAACAGTAGCTAAAAGTTTATTGATTTCAGTTTCAGCAGCTAAAAATCCATGAAAACATTCTTAAATTATACAGACAATACTAACCCATATTCAAATTTCTATCAAAGTAATAAAATAGGCTAGGATTTTCTCACAGTCATTGCAATTTACTTATCAATTAGTACAATAAAACCTATTTTAAAATGTAAATATCATAAAGTGCAAGTAGCTTTTGTATCCCATTGTGATGTAGCAGCTCAAGTATATGGAAATATCTAAGTAAAGAGACTGAAAAAATGTAACTGGAAAAATATAACTACAAAAATAGCTGGACACATTCTCGGCCACTGTCTCTCAACTGTTCCCTTTATATCCACTGTAAAACTATTTCCAACACACTAATCACATCTATTCGGAAGAAACTAAAATTATATGATTTCAAACTATTTTCATTTTAAAAAATAGTCCTTTAACAACTGCTTTTACTCTTCTATCTAATTATATACTCTTAAAGGCCAAATATTCAGTCAGTATACAAAAATAACTATAGTCTTTTATTAAGGATAAGACACCAGATAGGAGTTCATAAGAAAAATAAAGATGTTCTTTGCCTGCCACTACCAGCAATACTTTTCAATACAGGAAAACACATTTACTTTTAAATTTTTAAATACATATACACGAAAGTCTTAATAACTTTGTATCAGAGACTTACTACAATCAAATCTGTTCACAGCATCATTAAGTTGTTGGACTGCATGGCCAGTATTTCCTTTGAGATACTTCACGGTGCAGCCAAGATGTTCAAAAAACTATCTCTCCAAAAAGCTCTCTCCTAACTCAATACTAAGTAATCTGCACTTGTAACTCCACAACCCTGCCAAGAAATCTTACCTAGAACATTTTTCTAACCAACAGTCAGATAGAAAAGATAAAATTGATTAATATTTGATTCTGGCATCTGTCTAAGGACACCATAAGAACAATACATTATAAGGTTACTCAAATTAGAGGGATAGCACTATTTTTTTCTTTTACCTATGCACCTGTCGTCATACTTTCTATACAAAGGGTGTTTATTGCATGCAAGCAAAACCCCTAACTTCCTACTTTGTAATGATCTGAGCTTTTCCATATTCAATGTATGTTTCAAAAAACAAAAGCCCCAAATTGATTTCAAGTACAAAGCAGCAGCTATCTCATCCACAAATAAAAACTACAGCGATGTTCTGCTCTTCCTAAAACAAGCTTGAAGCCATGATTATATTAAAGACACAGATGTGAGGGGATTTTTCAACTTCCAAACAGACATGCAAACAAAGTATTACAGTTCAGGGGTGCAGGTAAATGAATAAGCAAGAAAACTACGTGACGTTTGTGCAGCGTCCTCTCAAATCCTGCAATCCCTTCTAGAAAGTCTGGGTCTACATCTCCCTCTTCTTTACTCATGTTCTTCTCGCATGGCTTGGTCTCAGAAACTTTCCATGCCTGTAACGGAAACTTGAGCCAACTTCTTAAATGTATGATTTCTTCATCTCCACTCATCATCCACTTCTGTTTCTGAGAAGCTCCTCATCATGACACCTGTATCTCAAGAAGCAAAACAGGAAACATCACAGGGATGAAGCAATGAAAGATGAATAATAATATGCCTCTGTGTCTTTAATAAAATCCCAACTTTCATTCAAGTTCCTTTTAGGAAATCAGAGTTCCTTTCACGAGTGCAAAGCTTACAAATGCAAACATCGTGTGCCAAAAACGAGGTAACCAATGCAATCTCCCAATCTGCACCTCTGATCTTGACACGATGAGCAGGAGAAATCCTGTACCAGCTAGCTTTACATACTATGGAAAATATGACCGGGTGCCAAGCTTGCAGAACTAGTCTGCGGCAGCCAGCTCAACTAAAAGAAACTGCTGACCCATCTGTTGACTTACCCGCTACTGAAAACAATGCCACTTATTTTTACTCAGGACTCATTTGTCCAAGTAGAGCTCTAGCCCACAAGTTAGACAAAAAACAAAGATGTAAGTAAGCCTCTCCTCTACTTTCCCATTGCTCCCTAACCTACACAACTTCCACAGCACACAGTTTGTGGTTTTGTACACTTATCAGGTGCAAGAGAAGACAAAGCTTTCTCTGCATTACAGCAGCTTAACTACAAGGCAACAAAGGCCTAAAGTATTTTCAACCCATCATAAAATTTGGCACTGGGGTGGAGGGCACTCACCTATCTGTTTCTGCCATCCAAAACTTGGGGTCAAGCAGGCCCAAAGCCAAAAGCAGCACTGTTTAGAGTCTAACAACAAAACAGCAAAGGGATGGCTCATCTGCAAAACAAGAGACACAACCACCTTGTGTCCAAAGACGCAGCTTAAACCATCTGCTTGCCTGGATGCTGAATGAGGGGGTACAGGAGAATTCTTTCTGCAGCCTCCCCAGCCATGAAGCCATCAGAGCAGATAAGCAGGCACCAAAACCATTCTGCCAGCCAGCTCTCAGTGAAACAGAAGCATGAAAGCAATTTTATCTCTCCCTTTTAGGGTTAAGGCCACCTTTAAATAAACATAAGCATCAAAACCGCTTTGTACCAGAAGAAGAGCAGACCCTACATCTTATCAGCTACCATCTAAACTTCTCAGAATTCCACATCTCATCTAAAATCCTCCCTTATTCTGCTAAAGCACTTGACAGCAGCATGCTCCATACAAATGAATCAGAAAGACAGCATAGTCCTTCCCCAATTGCTCCCTGTGAAATGGGACACATTTCAGCTTTCTTACAGCAGAAACAAGGGACAGCTGTAGGGACAGAGTACCACCAGAGCACAAAGTTTTGGCTTTGCTTCTTGCACATCACAGTTGAGAAGATAACTGAGCCTTAGACAGTCAAAGCAAGAAGCCCTGAGAGTGCTCTGGGTATTGCAGAAAAAAAGAGCTTTTACATAACTGGACAGAAATGTATTTGCTGTGCTGAGATTACATGGCAAAGAAAAATACATATTCCTCCAATTCTGAACTCTTGATTAAGTCCTTACCTTCAAAAGTGTTTAGAAGGAAAACAGTCCCGAAAGCTTGTGCCTCAATAATCATGCCTGTTACTGAGACATGCTACTGCCTACTCAGGAAAGGTAACTATCACAGATTTCAAGAACTTAAAAGCTTTCAAAAGCACTAAAGCTGAGGAAACCACAAATGTCTAGCTGTCAGAACATCCAGAAATATTTTATAATATATATACCATCCAATTATTTTACACCACAGTGATTCTTAATCTTTTATCATGATGATCACTGTATACAAGAAACAGAAACCATAATTTTACTGGTCCATAGTTATTATAACTCCATATTCCCTCTGAGCAGCAGAAATTAACTGAGAACAAGTAATTCAATCTATTATTGACATCTTCACTTGTTAATCTGTTGTCTACAATCAGCTTACACAGCATACAGACTACAAGACATCCAGGCTGCTCACTGTTGCATGCAGAAAGAAAACTGCAGGAAAAGGTTAATAGTTGTCAAAAACATCTAATGCTGGCTGCCACCTGAAATAACCTAGGAATTTTCAGTTTTCTTTTGAAGAGACAATTTACTGGCAGGCTGGTACTTCTAACTTTGATCTTCCTTCCTTCTAACACCAGCAGAAGTTCAGTAACAGAAGTTCTGAAGCTTTGTAGCTCAGTAACAAAACACAGAAACCACCCAGTATGTTAACTCAATTACAGTATTTTGGCAAGGAAGCCTTCCCCTTGTACCTTGGGGAAAATCTTAAAAAGATTAAACAGTGCATGTTTTAAAAGTACACACGCCTCAATTACTTGGTGTAACTCTTCATTTGCTTCACTGCTTTGAGAGAAAAAATATTCTTCAGTAACTTGCTTGAAAGACTGAAAGTGTTCCTTATTTCCCAAAGAAACAATGGTTATACAACCACACAGATTGTTCCATGCATGGAAATGTAAATTGTAAGGCAAATTTCAACTTCATCTCAGGCAAAAGCTAGGAGATTTCAGAGGTGTTCAATTCCTACAGCAGAACTGCAAAGTAAGCAACCAAGACAGGAACAACAGGTATGGTTCTCAAATATCAGGGAGACAACACGTTTTGATAAAATATACCCAAGAACTAACTATGAGGCAGGGAGAAGTCACTCAGGCGCTGTGCTGTTGGGAGAATCAGGGATGCTAACAGCACTGCTGTGTAATGAAGAAAAAGAAGGAAAATTGTGTAAGGTACTGCAATGCCACCAAAACCAAGAAAGCTGCATGAAAGTCTTATCTTCACTAGTTCAGCTGCTCACAGAGCAGCTGTGGATAGCTGTGGTAGCTCAAAGGGCTACCTTTGGATCGATGGAGCAATGCTTCATGAGCCCATCACATCTTCCATTTCTATGTGGGCTGCTGCTCACATGTGGCAATTATCAGGATTCATTAAAGGCACTTGGACTCCAGCTGTCCTGGAAAAGCAGACATACACTGCAGCATAGGTGGCCTCAGAAAACCCTAAAAAAAATATGCTTTTCAAACCCTTTCAACAAGATCCTGCCCAGGCAGGGTAAGCTAAACACTGGCACGACAGGTCAAACTGCTGGTCCATTTGTTTGAGAATCCTACCTCCTGTGATAAGGACCAGATGCTTCAGAAGGTAAAGCAGCTCAGGTAGTGAACAGTGATGTAATTCCCCCAAAAGGGAAATTCCTTCCTGACCTCATCAATTAGCATGAAGGTTTATGTGCTTAATTTATTTAATCCTATTTACAGCAACTCTGGACATTGTAATTATATATATAAATGTCCAAGTCTGCTTGGAATCCGAATAAACTTTTGCTCTCTGTAATATTGTGTGGTGTATTTGTGCCTAATGTCATTTAAATATTCCTTTGTTCTTGCACTATGGGAACTAGCATTACCATTAACCACCTCTGTTCCCCTTCCAAGACTCCAGCCTGCCTTGCACCATAAATTTCCATGCCACACTATGCCCTGTGACAGGACACAATCTGAGGATCTTCAAGGAAACTACTGAGCAACTTCTATCAGATATCTAGCAACATTTAAGCTACAATTCTGGGATCTGCAGGAAAGTTGGCAGTTGCACCAAGATTTCAGCAGGCCCTACCTTCTTCTAGATCTTGCAAGATCACTTTCATGTTTTCCACTCCAGGGCTGCCACCCTTATAAGCAAGATGTTTTGTTCTGTTGGACACTTTGAACCCCCCCTCAAGATTCTGATAAATTTACTTAGAACAGAGGGCTGTATAGGAACTTTTCTGACCAAAGAACTGCCCTCTCATCTCCATACCTGAATAAAGAACAACAGGCCCCAATCATGCAAAACCAATCCCATTTTGCTCTTGGCTGACGTTCTTGTGGGGCTGCAGGTTCCCCTGTGCAATAACTTTAGCCTATGTTGCTACTTTTGTTCTTTAATGGCTCATGGCACATTCATCATGATTATTGTGTCAAGTACTTATTAAAGTTCCAGTGCTCTCTGCTGTTTCTGCTCATACAATGCTCATCAAGGTATAAAGCCACACCTTCATTCAACAAAAGCTTGGTGGGGAAAAAAAAAAAAAATATATATATATATATGCAAGCAGCAGACAAGAAAGGGAGACTCTAAAAGTACACTTGGTTTTCTGGATCCTCTTGTATCCCCGAAACACAGACCTGCTTTCAGTCATTATTTGGGCTGCATTTTCTTCTCCAACCCTTTGAAGCTAAAACTTTGGACTCCAGGCCATAGGTTCTCAGTCCAAGTCTTCAGGAAAGAAAGAGAGAAAGGCTGGTATCTCATGGGAAGATGGCCTCCCAAGGAGATGACAGAGTTTTTACAGCATCTGTGAGAAATACCACACAGTCATCAGTGTTTTACCACAAATGTTGTGATTACGGGCTTGGAACTGGTGAGTTATGGTAAGAGAATACTTCTTTGCCTCAACCAAAATGAAAATTATACCATTTCATCTCTCTTTGGAACAACCTTCAGGCAACCAAGAGGGTGAGAGGAAAAATCCTGTTCCAGCTTATGGTTCAGAAACAAATGAAATTCTTTAATGATCAAAACATAGCATTAACAGAACTGGCAAAAGGCCCCACTTCGTCAACAGCTACCTCATTAAATAATCCAAACACATGCAACTTTTTTCTCTATTTGAGTATCAGAGGCTAATTAGTCAAAAAAGTAACAGGTCTCATAATAGCAGTAAAATTGTCTTTTCACATATTTCTCAAGGACCTCTCTGTGTTGTTTAACAGTTATAGTGGTCTTAGAAACTCTGTTTCAGAGCAAGGATCTCGACGCTTTCTTTCCAAAAGGCCATAAACGCTTTCCTGTTCCTCTGGCTCACATGTGTAAAGACAATATACTGAGCTGGGTACTTGTACAATGCTCTTAGGCAATGCTGAAAGAGTGGTCCAAGCCACAAGGCTCCAAGCACTGCCATACCAGCACTGCCAGGACCTCTGACCAGCCAGCGAGTGGTTTGCCTTTGGCATTCCAGAATGCGCTGAGGTTGAAAGGGAAGACAATAATGATACAGAACAATTCTCCCATCAGTGGTGGCAAAAGTAATCTCAGAGGCAGAGTGCAATGCTTTCACCACTTCAGGGTCATTACTGACTAAGAAGTCAAAAAGAAGTGATATTTTCTGGTTGTCCCACACAGAAGATGAATTTGGGTAAGGAGACTTTTTTAACAGACTCAACTAAGGTATTTTTGGTTGCTAGAATTCTCAATCTGTTGTGATAAAATTAGCTTTAAATAAATGTACAATACAAGCAGTACATACTTTGCCTAAGAAAAAACCTGCTGGCCACTTACAGATCATGTGAACCCATTTATTTAGCTGAGCTAAAAACAACAATTATTCCAAGCCTTATCTGACTGTAGATTTAGATCTGTTTAACAACAGCACTGCCACATATCAAAATACATGACAACCCACAGCTCTTTACTAAAGCAAGGAAAAGTTCCTGCAAACAATGATTGCTGCCTTTTAACAACAGTCTTGAAGAAAAGAGGTAAGAGTGAAAAACCTGCACCTTTGCCTCTATCCTTCAGACCTTTTCCTGAAAAGAAAATGCAACTTTTCCTCTTCTGTCTGTCCACTCTTCCATCCATATTACAGCAGAAAGAAATGGGCTGCCTTCAACTATCACTCCCTGATGTCCACCAACCAAAGCTATGAGAGATGATAATCTTATTTTCCCCCTGCAAGGTTTTCATCAACCAGCACAAGTTCTGCTCTGTTCTTTCAACCAGTGTCACAGAACCTGGCTCTGTACTGCTTATCACCATGATCCAAGCAACAGCAAAATAGTTGCTCAAACATCCCTAGTGCTCAGTGCTGGGTAAAGTTCACAGCAGCTGTTTGAGTCCCAGAAAGACATCTGAGAGAAGCACCATAAATAACGACATCACATGGAGTCTCCCATTGCACAACCCACATACATCTTCCCTGCTCAGGCATTCACGCCTCGCACCCTTCGCTGTCAGTCAAGAGCATATTACAAACCATGTTTCCAAGATGATCCAGAGGATATTTTGGAAAGTAATACAGCCCTCCTGTTGGCTGAGTCTTTTCAAAATACCTGTTCTACTCCATTACGAAAATTACAAATGCTCCTATTATCTTATTAAAACCATGGTCTTTCTCAGGAGCAAACTGTAGATCCATATGCACATTTTATACACCATGGATGTCCAAAACCTATTCCAGCAAGTCTGACAGCCTGGCAGAAACTGAAGGGCACTACTCCTTCACAGACTCGGGATCTAAGTTCTTCATCAGATATGCAAATACCAAGTATTTTCTCGGACTACAGATTCAGTAAACCCCAAATTTCAACAGCTCCTTTTCAAGATCAATATTCATTTTACTGTTAGATTAAAATAAAACCAAATTCTCTTAGAACACCTAATTCCTAGGCATCTGCAAGGAGAGAATCACTTTTCGAAGCAGTGTCTAGGTATAATTGAGAAAGAAGATATACAGTTATTTTGTAAAAATGAGATTTTTTTTTCCTGGAGTTTTGCCACAAATTGCCTTTGAGGGCTTGGTTCAGAAATTCCAAAGTTAGTTTATTGTTTTTCATATTGAGAACTAATTCCTTTTAGCAATTCTGTTAATCTTGGAGTTTGAAATTATTTTTATTAAAGTAACGCCCAGAGTTTAGATATTCCATAAAAAGATCAGGAATTATTTTTATTAAAGTAACACCCAAAGCTTAGACATTCCTTTCAAAAATAAGGCAATGCACCTTCATTCTTAAAAAGGTTCTTAGTCTTTTCACTGCAAACACAGATTTCACAAAGACAGCTGAGCATTGCAAAGTTTTATCAGCCATTTTTTATCAGAGACTTGAGAAAAAAAGTAATTTTCTGCCTAAAAAAATCATGAGCCTTTTGCTCCTAACAGTACGTGTGTCTTTTTTTTTTTCCTCTCTTCTTGCCTTCTGTTACAGAAGAAGTAGCACCGATTTCCACTCCCTGATGTCAGACTTCTCTTGAGACACCTGTGCTGGCTCTGGGCTGCTCTGCCAGCAGTCAGTACCTCCCGTATCTCTCCCTCAGCCAGCAGGGAGTCCCCTCGACCTAGGCAATGCCAACTTCTGGTGAAACTTGTTAGACTACAAAAAAATGGATTGCAGCCCTTAACTCTTATGCCACAACAGATGCAGGGCTGCAAAGTGAAGGATCTTACCTCCATTCTCAAGGGCCTGAGGCACTGAAACCTTTTGCTCTTCAGTAGCAGCTCTCTCTCAAGGACAAGACCGGGTGCTGCTTTTTGTTTGAGTGACTACGTTAATAAACAACACTCAGGTTCCTTACCATGACTAAAACACAGTTCAAGTGTTTGGAGGGGAAAGGGAACGCCTTTTGATGACTACTTCTGATCTGGAGCATAAGCAACCATGACTGAAGACTCCACTTTGTCAGCAAACCTCCTCCAATTGCTGTTGCTCTTTAGGCATAACAGGCCAAAGACATCACAGATTTAATAACACATTTTCTAATGTGCTGCTTCCCTGTTGAAGAAGGCACACAATGACAAATTTCAATTTCTTTAATGCAGAAATTAGGGCTGGGACAAAATCTTTCCAATTCCTCTGAAAGGGATGTGGAGTTGCAACATCCCCACCTTTCTCCCTGCAGCGTGTATAATTTCAGCTTGCTCAATAGCATCGGCACTCCTGAGTTCAGGAGGACTTTAAAAGGAGCGATTAAAGCTCACGGAAGTAAGCTAACATGAATAAACTGCCCAGGCAACAGGGAAACATTCCAGAGCCCTGTGCTGTCACCAGGCTTTTGTCCAATGCTGCTTAATCATATATGCAAAACATAATTTACAGAAAGATCCATCATTGGTTAGAATAATCTCAATTAATAATTTTGCATTGCACTGAAGAAGCTTTCCTGCCAACTGTTCTCAGACAAAAGCACTGGGATCTTCTCCTCATTCTCAGAGCTTCTACCTGCATCATCAGTACTAGTGGCACAGCAAAGGCTTCCTCTCTGCATCTTCTCAATGTGTCAGGCAGTTTGGAAGGGAAGTTTGAGAGCAAGTCGAGGACCACTCAAGCATCACTCTGCTGCAACTCCTACACCCTGTGGCTGGCTATAAGTCATCATGGCAGCTACTGCAGGATACGTTCTCATCTGGGCTCAGATTGCACGTATCAGTTCACACTATCCGGGCATGTAACACTGGGCCAAAACTCAAAATGCTTGTGGCACAGGGGAGGATATTTTCACTACAAGGCCCTCAGAGTTTATGACATCTTCTTTAAACACAGATGTACTCATAGCTTAAATATTTAAGACCCTCTTGAGCCTTGTAACAGAATTTATACAGCTCTATCAAAAAACCTTTGATCTTCTGCATAGTGCTGAGTAAAAAAACCTTGCCAGCCACATTTTGGGTTATAAGGAGAAAGATTACTTTTCCAGCACTTAACAGAAGATTATAGTCTTCACATAAGATTATAGAGACATGGTTGTAATGCCATCTGAAGACTGCATTTACAAAGATCTGACATTTGGCAGCTCACATGAAGACAACAGAGTAGTCAGATCCTCAAAAACTTTGGAGTTATAACTGAGAGCAACTTGTTAATGACTTTCTGCAATATCTTACAGATGTAAAGTTTTAATGCTTAGAAAGCCTTCCCTCACATGTTTCATGTGATCAGACACCACTAAATCTACACATCATAATAGCTTTTTAAACAGTATTGGGTAAGCTAGAAACAGTTCCCTCTGTACAGCATTCTCAAAAATAAATGTAACTGAAGATAACTTTGGCCCAATTTTTGTTAGGTCATAAACTTTCCCCATCCAACACATCCAAAGTTCTGCATTAATTAAGTTCCATGAGAGTTTAAGAAACTGCTCCTGTGCATACCTATATGCCTGACTACCAAAAATGGATGCAAAAAAAAAAAAAAAACAACAAAAAACTGTTGTCTCTCTGAGTTTGTTTTCAGAACCATGAATTAAGAGGTAAAAATCAGTGCAGATATTTGAGCTAAAATTTCAAAAGCTGACTACACTTTCTGTCCCAACACATACTTGTACTGTACAGCTGAAAACATAAATCCCCCTCCAGAACAGGGTATCGTTTCACTGGGACAGAACTCCCGTGGCTGCACTTGCCCGGAAAACAAACCACGACCTATCCTTCGCTCATGGGTCAGGCAACATACTTCGAACAACCTAGCACATGCAAAAGCCACGGGCCCTAGTAAACTTTTTCCTTTTGATACTTCTCCTTACAAGCTTTTTGTTTTGGACAAGTAAGTTTGAGATGCTCCTGCCACCGCCCCAGGTCCATGAATACAAACGAAGCTGCACGCTGCTCCAGATCTGTAAGCCCTTCACGGTGCTTTTAGCTGAGCTGAGAGGCAAACCGTGCAATTGTTATCTGCAGCCCGAAAGACGCTGTGCTGGGTAAGCGGCACGGCGCGGGCTCATCTCTGCCACACTGCTCCGCTGAAGCGAGCGGAGCCGCACCGGGCGGCTGCGGCGGGCAGCGGCGCCGGCGGAGATGCGCCACTGGAAAGGCTCCGCTCCCTGCCCGGCCGGCCGGGTGGGCAGGGCCGGTGGGAAGGAGGGAGGGCTCAGCTGTCCGGACAGCCACGAGCCCCCGTGCCGGGACATCGCTGCGGCGCCCGCGGCGCGAACCCGGGCACGGGACTGGCGGGGAGCGCTCCCGCGGGGACGGAGCGGAGCGCTCCCGCGGAGGACGTCCGTTCCGGCCCAGCGGCGGCACGAAGCACTCCCGCGGGAACGGAGCCGGACCCAGACACCCCTTCCCGCCCCTGGCCGTGCTTTCTCCTCGGGCGCCCCTTCCCGCCTCGCCACGGCCCCCGGCGAGGCGCCCCATCCCTCCCCTCGGCGCGGACGGGGCGCGGGGGCGGCGGCGGCTCGGGCGGCGCGGCCCCACTCACCGCCCGGCGGGCGCCTCCGGCCTCCGAGCGGCGGCGGCGGCGGCAGCAGCAGCAGCAGTGGGAGCCGGCGCGTCCCGGAGACGGAAGCGCGGGAGGAAGTGAGGTCGCGCCAAGGGGAAACGGCGCCGTTTCCGGGAGGTGGAGGGGGATGCGCTCCGGGGGTTTCCCCCGCGCCCAGCCGGGCGTGGATCTCTGTGCCTCGTAAGCCCCGCCGAGTGACGGGGACGCGCTGCGGAGCGGGGCCATCACACGGGCAGAGTAACGCGGGAAGGACGCGGCGCCGGCGGCCCCGGGGCTCCGCGCCCTCCCCGCTCCCCGTGGCCGCCAGCCCTCGGCGTGACCCCGCTGTTTTCCGCGGTTCCTTACAGGGAAGAAGCTGTCACAGGGGGCCACCCTTCACCCAAAGGAGCCTTTCCATGGTGCAAAACCACGGAGCCTTCTGCCACTGTCAGTTCGGGCCAGGTCACGTTTTACAGACCCTATAGACACTGAAGTACAGCTCATTTCAATATAGTACAATTTGGTGCTCAAAGCCAAGTTTCTTAATATCCAAATATAACCGCAGTGGTGCTCACCACTACTTCAGGACTTAATAGATTTCAGCGCAGAATAGGTGAAAACCTCTGGACATAAACTCCTAGCACTGTGCTGGTTGTTCATCCCTTGGCCAATTCAAGTTGTGTAGCCTTAGGAATTACAGCATGATACATCTTCAAATAATTTTCATTATTAGATGCTTTTATTAAAAAGTAATTTCTGCAGAATCCTTTTGAGATTTACCTAGAAAGAAAAAGTAAATACAGTGTGAAGTCTCTTCTGGACAAGCTATGACCTGCTTATACTGATTTTTACAGACAGACCCATTCTTTACAGCAATTTGACTAAATGAAACTAACCACCTTTGTTATTAACATTAGAGTAGTGGCTTGAAGTGTCTTCTAGACCTGTAGTTCACTGTGTACTTCTCAAAGTGTCTCCAGGAAAGGTTCACAGTATTGCATACACAACTCCCAAATAAACAGAGAGAAGCACTTTTCCGCACTACCACCAGTGACACTGGGCTCTCAAAGCTTCTTCTTCTTCACCAGGCAGTATGGCCACAGTGCCTTCATTCACACTTACTGACTGTATTCAGCAAATTCAACAACTCATCATCAAGGAACACGAGACTTTCCAGGCAGGTAAGTACTGCCTCGCTTTCTCTAGGGTGCTGTTGCCAGACAAGGTAGCTGATTTCCAAGGTGCTAGCAGAGAGAAATAATTTCAGACATTGTTAAGACTGCAGTTCCCTACCCTCAGGTTCCTCTGAGCACGTTTTTCCCTGTGCTGAGTACCTCCATGTTGAACGTTCCAGTGGGCACCCACTTCACCTCATGAGGGCTCAGAGAAAAGCTACTAAAAACAAACTTCTAGGGACAGTCCCCTCCCTTTCCCCCTTGCCTTCAGCTAGGTGTCAATTAAAAAAGCATTGAAAACAGCTCCACACTGACTGTTAAAATTGGCACTGGATATATGTCCTGCGTTCCTACAGAACTGTGGGCTTCATTCCACTGAGAGCTGTACGCTTTCAGCCTGTTTTGGTGGCTGCTGCTGCTGCTGCTGTTCATACTTCCTTGCTGAAAAAAAGAAACACCAATCAACACTGATTGCACAATTTATTTTATATTATTATTACTATTATTATATTATTTATTACATACATCTATATATATGTACACATATATGTTTTTATATATATATTCATGTAACTATGACAACAATCAAGAAACAGACGTAGCATCAGAGAACCTAATTTCAGCCACACAAGGGGAAGTTTCAGTCACCATGTAGAACTTCACCTTTCACCTATGGCTTTATAAGTGCTGAACAGTATAGTCATAGCAAAATGTCAGTGAATCAATGGCAGAGATTATGATTCCATTCAGGTCCTTTTATTAAAATAAAAATAAATAAAATTAAAGGCTATGGCTTCAGAAGTTCTATTACCGATGACCTGATCGGCTCAATAGTCACAAGGCTGATGTCCGCATTTCTCATCTCCTCCACAATGCACAAGCCACAAGCTAACAATTACATTGACTTCAAAATTAATCTGGTTAGCAAAGCAAAGGGAGATCAAAGAGTTGCGTGCAGTGGTACAAACAATGTACCACCGCATGCAAATGCCAGGAGGAATTCCACTGTAGGAAGACCATCCAATTTTCTTCCTACAGAATGCAATGGCCTGGTGTAAGAATCTTTACATCAAGTCTTTGCATTTAAAAGGTGGTTTCAGATCACTAAGGTTGTTGTTTGGGGTTTTTTTTGCCGTATTTCCTCCAGGCATGCAAGTAGGGCAGATGTGAGGCAAAGCTGTGTTTCTCTGAATTGGACTGCTGGAATATTATGTGATATTCCATATTATGATATTATGCCCCCTGGGCATGGGGCTCTTTTCTGCCTCCATCCTCACTCTCAGCATTGGTATCGGAGCAGCAACACTTGTTGGTTCAGTAAAATTCTAATTTATTTTCAATTTCTGTGGTTGCCTTACTCATGATTACACACTCCTCTCAACTTTTACAAATCCACGTTTCCACAACATCCAGACCTTCCTGGTCCTTTCAGAGTGCAACATGGGATTGGTTTTGACACTTGCTTTAGGATAATTGCACAGGCGCTCCCTCGCTCCGTGCTTCCTCCCGCAACATCCCGCGGCCGCTGCAGAGCCGCTGCTCCTCACGGGGCCGGGGCGTTCCGCTGCACAAGGCTCCAGCCGCCCCTTGAGGCGGCCCCAGCAGCCGCAGGCCCGCGGATCCCCGTTCTCCCTCCCACTTACCGATGGAGTACATCTCCAGCTGCTGCCGCAGGCGGATCTTCTTCACGCTGTCGTAGAAGTTGGGCTCGGGCGGGGTCTCGGCGGCCGGGGGCAGGGTGAAGATGCGCAGGATCCTCCTCTTGTTCCTGCCAGACGAGGGGCACGCCGGTGAGCGCTGCCGCCCGCGGGAGCCCCCGCCCCGCCCCGCCCCGCCCCGCCCCCGCTCACCGCCGCGCGTAGACGAGGAGGGCGAGGCTGGCCAGCACCACCAGCAGGTACACGTTGGTGGCCTCGTTCCACGCCTCGTGCACCGAGTAGTCGATGGCGCCGCCGTCGCCCAGCGCCGCCGAGGCGCCGCCGCCCGCCCCGGCAGCGCCGGCCGCCGCCGCCATGGGGAGCGCGGCCGCAGGGGCGGCCCCGCCGCCGCGGGAAGTGACGTCAGCGCGGGGCGGGCGCCATGGCGGGGGGCCGCGGGGCGCCGGGCGTCGTGATTAGCGCTTACAATAAACTAAAATAATGTGCCGGGAACATTAATGCCAAAACGTATACACGGGGAAAAAATCTGATAGTCGGCCCGCCGCGTTTGTGGGACGCCACCCAGCAGCTGGGCTTGTGCTACTCTGAAATCATAGAATCACAGAATCGGTGAGGTTGGAAAAGAGGGCTGAGACCATCGAGTCCAACCTGTGACCGAACACCTCCTTGCCAACCAGACCTCGGCACCAAGTGCCACATCCAGCCTTTCCTTAAACACCTCGGGGAAGGTGGCTCCACCCGCTCCCGGGGCAGCCATTCCAGTGTCTTGTCACCCTTTCTGTGAAGGAGTTCCTCCTAAAGTCCAACCTACACCTGTGCTGGCGCAACTTAAGACCGCCACATCCTCTTGTCCTGTCACTTGTCCCCCGGCTACAAGCTCCTTTCAGGGAGCTCTAGAGAGAATAATCACTGTCTCTTTCAGGTATTTAATTACTGCCTTGTCGCATGCTAGGTAACAAATCCGATTTTTCTGGACTATACATGAGGCTCTGGGTGCCTTCCCACACTTTCACTTCCCCTCCAGCTACCGGATCCTTGGGGAGAGGACATGTGGAGGGGGCCACTTCTGTCCCAGGGGCACTGGAGATACAACAGGTCCTTTGGTTTTGCAGTGCCAGCGTCCGAGGGAAAGGCACAGATGGGTTTGGGGCCAGGAGAAGTGTCAATTCAGCAGCTCTAGGAGCCCGGCAGGCGAGGAGTCATCTGCCTGGGCTGGTGCTTATGCAGCAGCACTGGAATTATGTAGAATTCAGTTTTGCAGTGCGTGGTGTCAAAAAAAAAAAAAGGTTCAGATTGTCATGAGCTCTCGCTTTTCACATAGAAACTAAATGTGATGGTTTAAATTTGTCAAAATAGAAAGAGCACTTTCTGAAAGACTTTGCACTTTTTTTTTTTTTTTTTTTTTTTTTCCAAAATGGGAGTTGCTGGATATTCAGGTGCTGGAATAACATAGGTTAATTGATGGTCCATATGCTCCTGATGCCAAAAAGCACAATTGTAGGATTATGCTTTGGCAGAGCAAGTGTTTCAGCTCAGAACCTTGAAAAGTTTTCTGAACTGCTTAATGAGATGTGGGTAAAATTAGACTGCTCACACTCACATACGCACACTTTTCCCCTAATGCCTGATGTGGAATGTTTGAGCTACATGGGAGGTTAGGTGTGCTTTTCGCTAGGGCCTTCGGCTTCTTTCTATCCACCTCTGCCCCCAGTACTTCCTTTTACTATATCTTCCTTCAGATACTAGAAGTGTTACAATCTGGATATCAATTATATGGTCCATGTCCCTCTGCTTAGCATGTATTTGAGGTATGTGCTTGTGTTATGGTTATCCATCTTCACCCTTTATAAGACAATAAAGGGGGGAAACCCCAAGTATTTTTAGGGTGTGACTTATCTAACCTGTGTCAAATTCAAAATCACACCTCCTGTGCCTGGGAAATGCTCTGATCCCTTACTGAGTGCAAAGAGTCTAGACACCTCATTTGGATGACACTTGCTTTGCAGATGTGTAATCAGCCTGAGGAAACTCTATCCTTTGGGGAGCTGTGTTCTCACTGCAAGATGTTCCAAGTCTTTCTCTTTCCATGGTATGGAACAGATTTATTTTAAGAGGCCTTAGATCAGGACATAAAAGAATATGAGCGAAAATGACAATATAAAAAATAAAAACCTAAGGCAGTGGTGTCATGAGAAAAGTTCCTTGCCCCACACGGTGTGGGAAAGGAGGATAGAACAGCAGTTAGACATAATTCTAGGTCATTAAATTGGG